TGTGTGTTGCATTTTCAGCTGACCTGTTTACCTAGACTCCTCTTCTAGCTCAACTACTCTTCAATCCCTTCTTCTGTCTGAATTCCTCAACTTTCTTCTGCATTTTTTTTTTTATATGCTGAAATATAGTTTGGGATTTTTGTTTTTTTTCAGTTGTGGCGTTGTAAGCCTCTTCGTATTCAGCATCAGGCCAGGCTGCCAGCGTGCAGCGCAGGGTCCGTACACATCACTGGCAGAGTGGTACAGCTGCGTAGCACACGAGTGAGAGAGGCTACATGTCTAGGAAGCCTCGTAAGACACCTGTGTGTCCTCTTAGGTAAAGGACAACCAGGCAGCTGGAGTTACAGAAGAGGGAGGGAGGGTAGAAGGAGAAAGAAGCGTCTGAACTGGCAAATTCTCCTGGCAGCACCGAGAGTGAGAGCTGCGGTGAGTCTCGGGGCCTTGGTACCTGTCTCGTGTGTCCTGGTCCCTCCCTGCCTCTCCCCTGGCCGTCTCTTTCTCACACGATTTATTTTTCTGTGGGTTTTTTTTTTGTTCTCCCATGCTTCCTTTCTACATCTTATTCTGGTGGATCCCTATGCCCATAATTTAGTTTTTCCTTCTCTCTGCCCTGTAGCCCATGGCTACTTTTTCCTTCTTCATCTCTCTCTGTCCAGCTCCTGACCGCTATTTTTGTGTTCCTCCCTCTCTGTTTGTCAAAATTTTGTCTCCTTACCTATTAGCCCTTCACTATTTTTCTTCCCCCATCTCGGTTTGTCTGGCTCCTTGTCTCTCTTTCTTCATTACTCCCTCTCTGACGCATCACCTGTTGCTTCTTTCCTTTCTCCCTCCCTCTCTGTCCATCTCGCCGTCCCCATTTTTAAACTTCCCTTCTCTGCTGGGTAGCCCAGTGCAGTTTTGGTTTTTTTTTTTTCTTCTGTCTTTCTTTCCAACTCCTTGTCTCTAATTTTTAATTCTTCTCTCTCTCTCTGAAGTCTGTCAGGACTTTGCCTCTTCTCAGTAGCTCTGTTCAGCTCCCTGTATGCATCTCCTGTTGCTTCTTTCCTTTCTCCCTCCCTCTCTGTCCATCTCGCCGTCCCCATTTTTAAACTTCCCTTCTCTGCTGGGTAGCCCAGTGCAGTTTTGGTTTTTTTTTTTTTCTTCTGTCTTTCTTTCCAACTCCTTGTCTCTAATTTTTAATTCTTCTCTCTCTCTCTGAAGTCTGTCAGGACTTTGCCTCTTCTCAGTAGCTCTGTTCAGCTCCCTGTACTTGTGTTCTAATTCTTCCTTTGCTGCCGTGCGGCCTGTTGTTCTCTTCCCTTTCTCCATCTCTCTCTGTGTGGCTCCCAGTCCCTTCCTGTGTTGGAGCCCATTGTGGTTTTTTCTTTCTCTGTTTCTCTCTGGTACTTTTCAGTGTCATCTTTCTCCATCCCTCTGTCTGGCTCTGGATACCAATTTTTTAATTCCTCCTTCCCTTCTCTGTAGCCCATCTTTCCCCAGCCACCTCTGGCTCGCTGTCCCTGTGTTTGAATTCCCCCATCTCTACCCTCAAGCTGTTACTGCACTTCCTGTGTGTGTGTCACACTGCGTGCGGGTCTTTGTCCCTATCTTTTCATTCCTCCCTCTTCTCCCTGTAGCCCATCCCTATCATTTTCTTTCACTGTCTCTCTGTTTGAGACTCCCAAAAGTCCCTAGGGGTAACCGAACTTCCAGGGTGGAACCCTAATTCCACTCCCAAAGTCCATAGGGGTTTACCCTATTTCCAGGACAGAGCTCTGACTCCACACTGGAAGTCCCTGGCGGTATTCCTAGTTGCAGGGTGGAACCCTACTTCTAAAAGGGATGTCCCTAGGGGTAGCCCTACTGGAGGGTGGAACCCTAATTCCACTCCCAAAGTC